CGCATTCCGAACGGGAGCCATCTTTGTAGATCGGAACAATAACGGGGCGGCTCCAGTCGGTTGGGACAATTTCCTGCCCCCACAGTTTCATTAGTACTTCGGGTAAATCATCAACAGAAACAGGTCCCCCGAATTTAAAGAGGTCTGGATGTAGATTGTCTTGTCCCGCGGCCTTTTTCAACTTCAACAGTCTGATTTCACGTTCGACTTCTGAGCGAGAGGGTGGATCCAAAGGAACAACCCAGGGAGCAGAGCGATCACTGGCCGATGAGGAATCTAACAATTACGGCCGATGAAATTGCGTTCAAAAATGCTCAGCCCAACGCTCCAAACGTTTTGACAATTTGTAGATAGGCTGTCCACTTTCATCACAAATTGTTTCACTAACACCAGGTCTCCTGCTGTCAGTTTCCCGTATCAGACGGAATAACTTAAGATGGTTACCAAGGGCAGCGGCCACTTCCATCTCTGACGCACGACGAGACCACCAAGATTCGCAGTCTCTCTTCAGGCTAGCACGGAGTTTTGCCCGGAGCTCTTTGCGAGTTTCATTGTGCTCGCTTCCAGCCGGGATATGTCGGCGAGCGTCGATAAGTTCCAGAGACCGAGAAGAGACCCAATGTCCATGTTGGCGATTAGACATACCACATGAGGATTTTCCTGCTGCTAGTAAGGTCTGGTGAACATGTGACCAGTGACCATCAATTGTCTCCAGTGAGCGACTACTCAACTCGCATGTCAGCGTACTTCGTTACGCATTCAGAACAGCTGGCTTCGCCAGTTGACTGGTTTCATTGCGCTCACAGAGTCGTCGTGAGCGACCGCCAAAACGCATCCGCATGTCAGCACATACAAGTGCATGATCGGTGTCCACACATGTGCTCCAAATCGAGCGATAATTCTGGATGTAGCCTCTCCAGCGGTAACTGATTGCAGTGTGATCGATTTGTGTCCAAGGTTGGTTCGAGGCTGGTGGGCGTTAAGTCACCCTCTGGTGGGTGTTGCGTCGGAAGTTAGTGCTCGCAATAAATAAGCGGGCATCTTCACACAAATGAAGTAACCGCTCACCGTTATCACTACGGAAGCCTACACCGTGCTGGCCGCCCAGATGCAGTTCATCAATGGATAGTGTTCCAACTTGATCGTTCTGATCCCCCGCCAGCACAACAGTGTTGGTGCTTCTTCTGTGGCGAAAGAGCTCGGTTAGTTGGTGATTTAAGTCGTTTTTTACCGAGTCATCGCCACAGTTTGTCGGTGCATAGGCAGCGATGATGAATAGACAACTAGTCCCGCGCGACTTCGAAGGTCTGAACGAGCCAGCAAATCGGACCGCACACATCCGGCTACTGATTGGGATCCAATCAATCAGAGCAGCTCCAGCCCGGAGGCTCAGGGCAATACCAACACCGGTTTGGCAGGTGCTCGAGGTTGCGGCGTTACCAGATAAGCGCAATAAGAAAATATTGCTGGTATCCCCTGAAAAGGATTGCAGAGTGAGCACAGATAAAATTTTCGACCGAGAAATCAAACATTATGGCATGCGATTGCTCGATCCCCGAGGGGTCAACTAAACATAACAATAAAAGTATGTCCACAAGGCAGTCTACGCGTGCTCTTGGGATCCGACATTTTTCCGACTTCCGCAGGCTAACACATGCCAAAAAATCTATACAGTCGTTAACAAACTGAAATTGTTAAAAACTTTCACATATCCTATGCTCGAACACTGCAAATTCATATATGGCAGCATGCGGAAGTTAGACAGGAAAGCTATGGAAAATTTACAGAGGTCATTCACGAAACGTTTGTTCAATATCACATAGACCCTAAACTATCGCGAACGTTGCAAACAGCTTCACTTGGAGCCTCTCTGGTCGCAAAACTTGATGTTCCTTCACAATTTGTTGCACCAGAAAATGTACTCTTACCTGCTCTGCAAAGTTTGTAACTTGCATGACAGTGGAGGATAAGGCGCGCTATGCCGCAGTTACTTGTAAATCATGACGGTTCGAAGTTGTCTCCCGTGGCCCAGTGGCATAAGCTGCTGACTGACGGTTCAAGCCACTGGTAGTCATGGGTTCGAATCCTGATGGATCCGATGGATGCGCACTATTGATGATGCCCAACAGGCTGAAACTGCAGTCTAGTCCTTTTCCGGGCATGTGGACGACTATCTGATTTGGAAGCTGGTTGCAAAGAATCTCAGTACAGAAGAGTATTAGGGGAAGTTTAATGTTATAGGTAGAAATTCATCACATCTAGGCTCACTCAGACAGCCGTCACACGCCCGGAAAAGCACTGTACGCGCGTTTCATCCTTGCGGGAATCGTCAGCAGTGCGCATTTCATCGGACCCTGGTAGCGCTCGGACCCGCAACCCGACTTTTGCCAGTCCGTGGTTGAGACCACTGAGCTACGGGGGACGGAAACGACCATCGTGAATAAGTTACTAGATGTGATGTAGCTCTGCTCACTATCCACTGAGTGAGCGTAGATGTGATGAATTTCTATCTATAACATTCAACTCCCCCTACTACTCTTCTGTAATCAGTACACAGACCAAACTGATTATAATGCCATAAGTTAATTGGCGGCTTAAGTTTGGTAAGCTCGTCGCTTGGTGAGGGGGCGACCCTATCCTCTGCACGGTAGTAACGTGTAAGTCGGTGGATAGTGAGTAGCGCTATATCCCATCTAGTAACTTATAATAATATACTATACCATATGTATAGTATACATATACCGGGGTGCACGATCCTTGTGGTCGTGCTAGGCTCGAAGAGTGGTTCCATGCACTCAGTGTGGAGCGGACTACGGTCCAGCCACCGCCTTATGTGCGGTTGATTCCCCAAATACAGCGTGCTTGTGTTTGCCTGTGAAGGAGTGTGGGCCGGCTCCGTTGATGAAACGGCCCCCATCCGCATGCCTCTCGGTCTTATTCCTTCGGGTTTACACTGGATATGGGGTGTGTGGATGGAGCTGTGGGTGGTGCAGCGCAAGCCATCCATGGTCCCTCTGTAGGCGCAGGCGTCCTGTGGCTGGCCACAGTGACAGGCAAATCCGAAACTGGATGCCGCTAACCATATAGTATACTATACTTATAATAATATACTATAATATTAGTAACTTATAATAATATACTTATATATATATCATAATGCCTGCATGAATATTGTTTTATTAACTTGCACACGTCGCTGAAGCTAATCGTGATTAACTTCTTCGTGTTCGCAGCATTTAAATATATCTCTTTGACATTTTGCACTTATCGCGTATTTGTTGATAACTTATTTATTTCATGTGCTCATTTAGTGAAGAGTTATGTCATCATTTCCGTATGCTTTATTCGATAACTATTAGTAGCTAGTCATTTCGAAGGATTGCTGTTGCTGGACATCCCCGGTGTGGCTACGCTTGATGAGCATATTGACAAGGAGCCTAACCACTACCTTGTTTACAATGGCTCCAGGAGATAGTTGGTTATTGCTGGAGGGGACGGAGTGCACGATCCTTGTGGCCGTGCTACGCTCGAAAAGTGGTTCCAAGTACTTAGTGTGGAGCGGACTACGGTCCAGCCACCGTGTTGTGTGTGCCTGATTCCTCATATACATCGTGCTTGTGTTTGCTTGTGAAGGAGTGTGGGCCGGTTCAGTTGACGACACGCGGCTCCCATCCACATGCCTGTCGGTCTTATTCATTCTGGCTTACACTGGAGAACGGTGGGTGGTGCAGCGCAAGCCATCCATGGTCACTCTGTAGGCGCAGGCGGGCCGTGGCTTTCCCCATGGAGGCCACATTGACAGGCAAATCCGGAACCGGATGCCGCCAACCATACAGTTGATTTCTTGAGAGCCATGAGCTTAGCTCGAGTAGGGTGAGTTTTCACTGACCACTTCTGGATACAAACTGAATGTCGCTTGATCAGTGTAGTGCTGTCGTCGTGGATGGGGGGCCTCAGGATGGTCCACACCGATGGTTGGAGACCGTATCAGACATGGCGCAGTCTCAGAGTCAGACGCGTTCATGAAGTCGGTTTCTTGCATTTGGTCGTAAATTGTCGTTCCATTCTTATTAGTTTAACGCACCTCCTTCATCTTACAATGTCTTTACAGTACATTTGCCTTTAACCCCACTAGCTTGTCGTCGCTAGTTATCGTTATTCTTGCGGGGTGAGTCGTGGCAACTGGGCCCACCGCAGTTCAGTGCTCCGATCATAGTTGTACAACTGAAGTGAACTAAACTGAGTGAAGTATAAACATGGCAAGTGTCACCTGCAGGTGAACAATGATCGCGAGCGTAATATATGATAAGGTTGAAAAGCAAATGTAAACTGTTGCAAAGACATCTTAACTTCGCGTGTAACCATCCTCAATAAGATCCACGCAAAAATTTAGAATCACACTTCAGAACTGCATTCGCCCCATGCTGCTTGTAAGCCAGGCCAATAAGCCAAGCGCTACAAGCTTAATTATGGACATTCTATCAACGAGGATGACTCAAAAGATAAATTGGAGAACAAGGTCGATAAAAATTGCAGTTGGACTCCAAGTTTTATTTTGGCGCTCAACTCTCAGGTTATCAATGTCGTTAGCGACTAGCAATGGAACATAGTGTGTTTGTGATCGCTCTAAATTCATTCCAAATGAACAGAAAAAATAGCGACGTTGGAGACAAACTCAAGAGTTATGAAATCTATATAAAAGTAGTTTGCGACATATCAAAGATGCGAGTGGAAAAGAGAAGTCGTATGCAATGACCAACTTTCGGTAGCCAAACAGAAAAAAACTTTCGAACGTCTGAAATAGGTAGCGACTATCATCGACCTAACCAGACCGGCGAAAAATGACCCAGCTAAATAGCTCTTATTAGCTATAACGAATGGTTGCAAGTACTTGAGATAAGTTGGTTGCGAAAATCACGAAAAACAAACGAAGGTTTCGTCCTGGTGGATTCACATAAAATACTAAAGGAGTGTAACCACTAAGTGAAAACAGGACTCACTGGAACTGATTCAGAGTGGTTTGACCATCGACGAAGAAATGTAACGTGCCGTGCCATAAATCCAACAAGCAGCCCACGATTGATCCGCGGTTAAAGGCAAGAGAAGGCACCACCTCTACCCGATCGTTATGCACGAGTGAACCACGGTAACTCAGACCCCAGCTATTGTTATCTGACCCAATGGTTGAGGAGTACTCTCGGGTGGAATAAATGAGATCAGAATTCGCCAAACCAACGCCGATCGTCTGTAGAGAAAAGGTATTGGAAAGGTGAATGATCAGATGCAGGTGTCAAAGTCGGATAGCACATGATACAGATGAACAGGTGGAACATGTTGTCACAGGGGCGCGATCGACAAAGTTACAAAATGTGCCATATGACACGCGGATTAATTAGCTGGAGTTCAATCCGAAACAGAGGACACGGCCTGATGTGAAAGGATAAGCAAAACTTTTTAATGTAAAACGGGAAAAATGAAAAGGCCTGAAACAACGTCTTAAGCCTATAAACAACAATACTTGAGCAAGAACCCAGTCGGGTTAATAAAGGTTGAGAATGGAGAGGAAAAGTCAACACAAACGATTTGGTGTGGACTGTAGGTCAATCCTGAAGAGGTTAAAGCAGAAAGTGATAATGTTCGGTAATGGTCGAAAAACGAGCAGAACAAAAAGTTATAACTAAGCCGAACTGACACCTAACCGGATAGGACTCAACAAAATGGAAAAAGGACAGGATCAGACAAGACAGTAAGCTAGCTAGCGAACTTGGAATCCAAGAGTAAAAAGCCTCCAGACTAATTTCCATCGTATATACCATTGGTACTCACAACTGCTGTCGGTTATTGGTGTAGATCGCGGCTTCAGGTGTGCCTTCAAAACGTATGCGAAACTGAACTGCCTCGCCGGTTACCAATAAAGCGGCCGAATGGGAAATTTGTGAAGAAATCTTGATCGCATTCGGTTCAGTTGGCAAGAAATATATAATGTTTCTTTGTCAACCTAGTGTAAGTTAAAGAATTACGGCTTCAAACGACCTAACCAGAGTAAAACACAATGGCGTGGCCAATCACAATTCAGCAATCAGCGGTATTCAAAAATCTGGTTTGGTGGAAAATAAGCGCAGTTTGTAAACTGTGATCAAGTAACCGTAGGCTAGTGAGTAGTGTCGCCATAACTGGAGTTACCATGGTAAGTAAAATTTGTGAAAGCGGAAAATAGTAAGAAAGATACCATGCTGAAAGGCATGCCGCAAGCAGCAGTATTTTGGACACAGAACCAGCAATTAAGAACGATGAAATCAAAACATATCATTATCATTGTAAACCTTAGCTAGAGATGGAAAGTACCTCAGCTACTGTGTCGCGAAAGGGACGATATGGGTGAAAAAGCGTACGATGGGGAATAAGGGGAAGCCTTGCGCAGTATCCTCCAAAGCCCTATCTACCCAGTTCGATGAAACAGATAGAGCACCGTTTATTATCCTCTGCGGCGGCCAAAGCATCAAGAGATTATTTGAAGAAGTCACAAGATTGTACTGCGTGGGCAGGATACTGTCAGATTGCCCAGACCAAGACAGAAGAACGATTAAGGTATTCAACCAGTCTTCGGTTCAAAAACCAGACCGCAAGACAGCGGGTTTGTCAGTAGACTACAAGTAGTCCGTTTTAAGGAATAATCAGCCACCTACACTCCAACTCCCAACCTAGAGGATCAGGAGGATGAGTTAGTCTGGAAATCAAAGCACAAAAATCACTGACGCACAAAGCAATGTTAAGTTTGTTCCTGCTGAACGATGCAGCCAAACTTGTCCGATTATTTAAAAATAGAAAAGGTGCGAAAACCTTTCCGCGGTCTGTGATGTCCTAGTACAAGGTACGTAATATTTCCGTATATATCAAGGGAACACCATTCCGTGCAAGTATTTCGAACAGAACGGATTGGTCGACTGAGTCGAACGCACTCTTGAAGTCGAGGTAAACATTTATTGTTGGCCTGCGGTACGTGTAGCGCTGCTATAACGCCTGTCGAAGAAGGCTGTAATCCGGTTTCGGACCATAACGCCAGGTGAAGCCACTAAACTAGCCCGCCATAGTCAGACTGCACCAAATGAGCAGGAGATCAAATAAAAGAGGGCCGACTGAGTCGCACATCAGTGTGCTCCGTCTAACAAGTCAGGCAGCGCTTCTGGTGGCGAATCAGGGCGCCCGCATCGTCTCTGAGCGTTTCGCTGACGCCTGGTTTCCTGGGGCCAGTGGTGCGTATCGGCTGGAACAATTTGCGATAATTGCCTACTGCCCCCCGCCTCCACCAGTTCTTGAGCCCTGCAGGTCCTCCAGGCTACCTTGTCAGGACTTAGGCACCGCTTTAGTTCGCGTCTAATAGTCCATCTGGTCACGTTGTGCTCAGGGCCAGTCGAAAGTTCTCTCCTGGACTCCAACAGGTTCACAGACCTCTCGGATAACCAATGACTGGTGCGGAGACGATTGATAATACCGAAAACAGATGCAACCGCATGGCGGCCGAGATCCTGTTCCACTGAAGGTGAGGAAGAGAGCTCGGTACGCAAAGCATCCTGGTAGGCCTGACAGAGGCATAATAAGTGAGGTTTTCCACCTCTAGTTAGCGAGTATAATGATAACTGATAGCAGTGGATACCTTCGTGGCTGCAAAACGATGGAGAAGCATCGTAAATATGCCGGTAAAATTTGCGGAGATGACGTCGTACCAAACCATGATCCGAGTCCAGACATGTATACAGAACAAGCGATTGTCCAAGATGGGACCACGCCACCTATAAATCAAGGCAACGTAATCTATTGGGGCAGATCTCCGACCACCTATAGTAGGACGTCAAGTGGCACTTCGGCGCCCACTGTGTCCAAAAGCGATGCTACTAAAAAACAGCTGGTGCTCCGCGTACAGTTGCGACAGACGTTCGGTGTACGATCGGAGTTGAGTCCATACTTACTACCCAACTGAAATTCTGATGAACTCAGACTACCGACTTGCGTATGAATATCTCTCACAACCGCAGTGATATCTAAAGTGATAAGGTTGCGCAGCAGCGTGTTTACCTCGAAGCGGAAGGCATCATTGACAGCGCCAGAACTGTATTTGGTAGGGTCATAGGCTGGAATCACAAATAGCCTCTAGTACTGTTTCGTGAATAAACCCTAGTGGATGGCTACAAACGCGCTGTACACAAACGAATGTTCACAGGAATCCAAGCAACCCGCGATGACTCAGCCTTGGAGATGATAACGATATCCACCCCAGCTTGACGATTGGTTGCTGCATCAGCGTTTCTGGATACATGTACCCAATAGAGGGAGAACAAACCGAGTGTACTTAGTTCAGCAAGCGCGTGAGAGTCATTAGTCCTAGTTTGGGACACAGTACAAATCGTCGTCATCATCATCACCACAACAAATGAGCAGGCGAGAAACAGTTCGGATAACTGTGCCGCAACGACACACATCGAGATCTAACGTGCGGACAGGTACAGCCTGTTGACTTATTTGCCTTAGACTGCAAAAGTTGCACGCTGCCGGGAAAACGCGACAACGTGGTCTTATGAGGAGCTGTTGTTGGTGGATGGATAATGCAGGAACATAGCTGCAGATGGCATTAATGCAGTAGCATCGCGATTGCTATGAATTGAGTTGGGGAATATGGAAGAAAGGTTAGTAATGGCGTTTTGGAAAAGAGTAAGGGTAACAGACAGAAAATAAAGAAGGGAGGCGACAGTAGTATCACGTTTTCGCTTGTCCGCCTTGCTGTAGACAGTAGATAAGGCGAACTTTAATAAGCTGCGCGATGGTTAATGTGGGATGTGGCTGAAGTATGGTGTAATAGTCATGGTTGTGCGTGGGCCGATACTGCCAGCGCGCCCAAGCATAGATAGGAGAACGATTAGACCTCAGCCAAGGCCTTTGGCACAAAAAGCTATCCGTAAGATAGCGGGGTGATGGAGATAGCAGCGATAAAGATTTACAGAAATGGATACCGACTCATCTTCAACCCCAACCAGAAACAACTAGATACTAAGTTTGTCTGACTTCCAACCATTGACCAACCTAGTAGGAGTAGGACTCAAGGGGACCGGAGGCATTAACCAGCATGGCTCGATGGGTCGAAGAGGTACACAAACCGTCGCACTACGTTAGAGTTGCGACGAAGGGACATTCCGAGAGTGATACCAATACAATCATTAACAGGTTATAGGAGTTGACTCAAACGTTAAAGCGAACAACCCGTTGGCACCGGTAGTAACTTGACTGATAGGAAGGTGATTTTTCTTAATCCAAACAAATGGCGGGTGAGCCAGAGTAGAACTAGTCGGTTCCAACATTGTCGTAAGCTCACTTTTAGCTTCGTAATAATGGGTCAGCCTTATGTGTTGGGTTATAAGTGAAAAGCTAAGCTGTTATCTGCAAATTACAAGTCTGCTAGCATTGTGAACATAGTTGCAAATGATGGGAGGCGCTGGAGCAACACTTCACCGCACCCCCGTTTCTTACGTGTGGTCAAATGTGTAGTCCAGTGACTGCTACTTGTAACCCGATCCAAACTAGGACAGTAGATAGGCATGCAAAAGCGAGGAGAAGTATGCGATCGTAGAAAAAAGGGATGGCTTCAAAATTGTTGCTAAGTAACACAAGCAGGCCACTGAAGCATCAGAATTATGCTTCGAAAGGTACGTTGTAAAATGAGCAGCCTGCGAGCAGTAAACCTATCTTACGTTAAGAAGGGGACAGAAAAAGAGAACGAGATGAAGAGAACAATGACAGTGCGTACCGATGAGAGAGCAGGTGTTTACACGGCCAGTGGTAAACATCTCCACCTTACATAAGTATGCTTGGATCTCTGACCAAGATGTCGGAAAGTAAATCAGTGCAGCCTATAGATACCGAGGTATCATACCCGCCGACTGGACGGATAAAAATCGTAAGCCATTGTTTTGTGACAACTACCTATATCATCGCAAAATCAGGGTCCAACCGACACACAACAGTCGACATATGTTTAGAAAGTAATGTCGGTCTAGGACAGAACACCTGACCAATGTTCCAAGTTGGACACCGAGCTGCTAAATGGATACGAAAGCACGATGCGAGTGGAGCCGTAAGAAAACATTTCAAGGTAGCATCAGACGTGAACTTACCACATCAGTTCCATAAACAGGAGATAAAGCCTTAAGCTCCCAATAGTGAATGGTTTCAAAGAGAGCCATAGATCCGGTGACGGTAGCAGTGCCGAGACTTCCCAATGGGTGAAACGCTACCACTGTGTTGCCCTCAGATAATCGCAACACATCGTTGAGACCAGAGGGAATGCACCAGGTCCAGTTTAGTACTACATCACAATTTCTCAGTATTTATCAGCACATACATGTGGCACCCAAATCCTCACAACAGTGACAGGATGGAATCCACTGATTAGGAAAACTTTCCTCACTACCTTTGGAACAGTAAGCACAAACTTGATCAGACCGAAGGAAAGACGAGGAGCCAAACGGAAACTTCACCGACCGCAACCCGGTTGACATCTCTGAATAGTCATGTAGCAGGCGTCTGGTCGAGGACTTCGTGAACTTTCGTGTCCAAAGCGTACGCAGGTCTTGTTAGATCTGGGGGCAAAAATGCAGAACTAATATTTCGAATGCAATTGGATAATTTCATCACAAACACCTGATAGGAGATGAAGCTGGGTGGAAGATCAGTCTGATAAAACACATCGAGGCAAGCTAGATAGATGGCGTGAAAACGCGATGGAGATGGCTGCTCTAACAGCACCGAAAAAAAACAAAGAGAAGAGGCAATAATGGCCTTCTGAGTTAGGTTCGACGAGCTTTCACCTGCTTATTTGCGACAACAAACCTACCTGCTACAAGTGTAATATGCGTCCGATCGAGGATTCTGAGTTTTTCCGTGTCCAATGCGCAAGTTGGTCGTAATGGGTATGAGGATTGTAATGTAAAACAAATGTAAAAACAAAACTTATCAAGCAGGTGAATGGTCATGTCACAGCCACATAGTAAGAGACAAAACTAAATGAAACGTGCGACCGGCTGACGCTTCGTGGTGAGCTGGATACCGCTGACACAGCTGCCGAGGGCATCGAGCCTGAGCTGTGTAGATTGGTTCAATGGTATGCAGAGAGCAAAAGGGAAGATTTATCAGTTCCGTCGAAGCCGATTCAGTACATGGTTGAAGCAAATGGCTGCGAGGCGGCACTCCTTTTGGGATTGTCGGCGTTGCAGTAGGAGCAGCAGAATTCTGCCGTAGTCATCAGATGATAGTCTAGCAGCCGTTCGAAACTTTCCTCTGTCTGTGCATCAGCAATAATGTTTGGTAGGTTGTTCCAAGTATTCACTACACGGGTTGATCAGTTAGCCTCTGGACGGACGTGAAGTACTTTTAGCTTGTACAACTTCACTTCTGACCTCCAGTTGAACTAGTGTTTTTTTTTACCTCACTTCCAAGTGATCCTCTTAAGATCTATCGGGTGTGGAGAAGAGCTTCACGACGATGACGATAATCCATTAGGAACAAGTTGAGCTTCCGGTGTCGAAGAGAGTAAGCAAGATTTAGAAGCTACATGACAAATTTCGAGCCACGCCTCTGAACCCTTTTTAGCAAATCACCTTCAAATTTCGAAACAGGATAGATAACTGAAAGCCCGCACTCCAGTAGCAGACGAATATGTGAGGCGAATAAGGCACGGAAAAGCGCCGGTGATACGGGAGAACGACATGCGTAGAGCACCCAGAATCCTGTTGGCGGCCGTGACCTTCCTCAAGATGTTCTGTAATGTTCGTAGATCGGATGTCACGATAACCCCCAGACCTTTCTCGTTAGTGACATTCCTGAGGAGATACCCGCCAATGTGGTATGCACCGAACGAATCCAGGTTATCAATCGGGAGAACGGGACATTTGCCACGGTTTACGGGGATTTGCCATTTGACGGACCAATTGCGAAGCTGGTCTAGCGCCGTTTGAAGACTGCCGGCATCCACAAGCCTAGATACTTCTGACCATAAATTGGGATCATCAGCAAAGACTAAGCAGTCGGCTGCAGGAAGGCCATTAATGTAGAGCATGAAAAGTGCCAGTCCAAGGACAAAGCCTTGTATGACGAGACTAGTCAGAGACACAGGGACAGACAGCGATTGGCTCCCGTTTACTAGAAGAGTCCGGCCTCTCAAGAAGTCCGCAATCCATGAAAGGACGTTTCCAGTGACGCCAATGCCGTGGAGTTTAAGTAGAAGATGTTTGTATGGGACTTTGTCGAGCGCCTTGCTGAAGTCAATGTAGACAAAATCAAGGTGTCTCCGGTCGTATATTGCTTGGACCCATGCTTCTTTGGCAGCAAGCAGGTTAGAGATGGAGAAGCGTGCTCTGCATAATTCATACTGTGTGGGGGAGATAGCGCACAGTCTTTCACAATGAAGGTGGAGAGCATGCTTGACGATTCGTTCCAGGATCTTACACACAACAGACGTCAGGCATATCGGTCGATAGTTTGCAGGATCGTGCCGGTTCACTCCTTTGTGTTTAAACGTTACGATCCCTACTTTCAAGTCAGATGGTAAGCGCCAGTCTGCAAGTGAGCATCGGGAAACTTGGTACATTGCATCGGCAATATATTCGACTACCTTCTCGCTACAGATCTTATATGCGCGGTTCGTTAAGTTTGTTTTACTTAACTCGAGCAATACATCCTACTTCGAATCTCGTACTGCGTCGTCGCTCCTGTCTGCTGCGTGGGTCTTCGTTTTGCTTGCTCAGCGCGGTGAACTTCGCTCAAACGGCTAGGAACTAGAGTCCTGCTCGCGCTACGCTATACAACGGATCTCACGACTGGACTGAGAAAGCATTCCAAGACGAACGCCTACTGTGGAATCAAGAATATTCTATCAAGTCGCAGTACTGCGGCCAATTTTTCGCTTACTGGCACACGAAACGGGACGCTTGTTAAGCGGAAGCTTGTTTCATCCCTGTCATGTCCATCCAGAGAAATAACAGATGAAGTCCATTAGGGCACGAGGAGTCTATTTCGGGGTTAATTTAAACTTACTCCAGAGGAGGATAATGCGCTGGCAGGTCGTCATTGGGTAACAACGGAGTACTGGGAAGCTAGTAGGTAGGTCTTCTTGTCATCACAGAGCCCTGTGATTTCCTAGTGGGAGAATAGAGCAGGAATATCACTGCCCGCCACAGGTGTTTCGCTTCAGGTACGGGAAAAGTTTCTTCGGTTAGTTTCGTGATTACGTGAGTAGGCCGTGTCCGCATTGTGCTCGTTCCTGGCGCATTTTTAGAACGCGCAATTAGTCTGATGCTTCTTGTGTTTACTTGAATAAGTCCTACATTTCGTCGTCTCTTGATCAGAGATTTTACTTCGGTTGATCAAAGGGGGACCTTTGGGGAAAGGCCTACCTTCGGACACAGGAAAAACTCGTACAGCTTCTAAGTTCCATACCTGGTCAAGGGATTGTGGGATTTCCTAGTTTGTGGTGCTTGCCGCCTCTCGTGATCTGGATGGGACAACACGTCGGAAGTTACGGTGTGATCCTAGGTGTGGATAGCAAGAAGACATGTTCACAAGAAGGAGACTGCACAGTGGTCACTTGGACCAAGTGGCTGGAGAATCTGCAAGCGGTAGACATTAGAGAGCGCCAATACGAGGACGAGAACAAGAATGTGTGGCGGTTGACCTGGCACCATACATGTTGATGTTGAGACATGCTGAGTCAGATTGTATTTATGAATAGCCTCGAGAAGATTCCAGTCGACAGTGAGTGCACTGAAGTCGCCCACAAGCAGACAGCTCCTGCTTTAACCATTGGCGTTTACCCACTGCAACTCGCCGACGACTGAGCTCAGTAGGCCATACTAATTGTGTGAAGTTGATAGCCATCATGAATACGGCACCACAGTATCTCTGAGACACCTTTATTGTCGCAGACAGCTTCGAGGTGTACATTGACGCAAGGACTCGAAAAGAGAATTACTCCCCCCAGTCTACCCACTAGAGTGATCAGCTCGTGAGTTAATATCCTGATATAATAATCTCCACAACCTGAATCTATGAAAACAACCAGGTCTCGGTGAAACCCAATACATCTGACTGATGTTCAGTAATGAAAAGAGGAATCTCGCCGAGCTGCGTACATTGGCAAATATTACTCGCAATCCGCTACTTAAGCTTGGGAGCTGGGTAGCAGAAAAATTCGCTCCCAGCGGGTACTTTGGGTTTTCCGAGCAACGCGAAAAGCCACAATATGAAGCTCAGTCTGCCGTTCGCTCGGCGGGTTCGCAGTTCACTGACGGCTTGTCTCATTCTGGATCAATTCACTATGAAAGGGTCTTTCATGGCAAAGGTCTCTCCTCTGAGGTGCGCCTGAGGATGCGGCAACACTCCCATGGTTCCCGCGCGCTTTGAACTGCTGAGTTTGTCGGTTCTAATCCCGGTGGCTTTTACAAACTTGCGTATCAACTGTGTTAAGCTCGACTCCTGTCATTCGACCTGTTTCTCGGATCGGTGCGATACTATTTTAACTTCCGTTGGTTTCTATCGCCGATTATTTCCCCATGGCTTCTAACTGTTTCATGTAGTAAAGGTGTCACACATCAATCGAAGGCCTACCATGCTCTTTGTGTGATGGATGTGGTGTTTGTTCGGGATTATATGAATACCTATAACGGATTATTATTATTAATACTATTATTATTATTAGTGTGAACAGTAGTAGTATTATACGCGATAGCTGCAGGTGGAAAACACCTCAGCTATTGTGTCGCAAAAGAAAACAAGAAAAAAAGCAGAGGCACGCCGGCCGAGTACCCGGTAACGAATGGACATCGTTCCGGAGAGCTGACAGCCGGATATCGTGCCGCAAAAAGAGAGTTATATTATGCTCAACGAATGAGATCGTGATTGGAGAGGGACGCTAAGCAGGAGGGGGATGGACAAAGGAGCTCACAACACAAAGCCAATGGGGCCGGCTCATAGCTATACCAGCACGTGTATACAACCAAACGTGTTCATCATCCTTAGGACCCTAGCCAGGCAGTCGGGATGCACCAAACGACACCAGTTTCGAAGTGAGGGTTTCCATTTCTCTCGACGAAGTCATTGCTTGGCCTCCCTTCCTCCTCTTTCAACCGCACCCTCGGCGCGCACACAATGCACGTCGCGGGAGTCGGTGTGCTGACATGCGCAACACATAGCCCAGCCATCGGAGGTCCGTTCAAGGATACGGCGGCACCCTTCTTCATCCTGACAGACAACTTTGAGAGGACGGGAGATGGTGGGGTCTTCTCGCATTCTCCCAAGGCGAAATGCAGAGGCAAAGTTAATCCCTTTTTCCCCACTATCGAATAGAAGAGAGACCATATGCCTTAAGAATGCTTGATCGTCCTGTATTCTTTCTGCTGGTGTCTCCCTATTAGACTCCGGAGTATTTACGACGATTAGACACCGTTCACGGGAGGGACGCTTGTTTCCATCAGCTATAGGTGGTTTCCTTGTGCTGGGTTTAACTTTGACCAGATCTTCCAGCTGTCATTCTGTCCAAAACCAATCGTAGCTGGGAGGAAGTAGGCTTCGGTGCTATTTTAGATTTC